TTAAATGGTTTATTAAAAAAATATTTTTGTTTCTATGTTTAATCAAATACTTGGCAACTTGTATGATCTCACATTTGTTTTTGGACAATTTTTATTTATCAAAATAATATTTTTGGTTTAGAAAGGATGTAACGTACGATATTTTTTTATATACTTGGCGTAATCTTTTTCTTTTTTTTTTTAAAGAATTTTGGTAGTCGTCTTTTTCGCGCGTGCAAGTTTCGACAGTGCACCCAACAGCGCATACAGCATACGCATATATAAATGGCATGAAAAGTTTTTGCGGTTATTTTAACAAAGTTGAAAGAAAATAAAATAAAAGTCAATTTATAAATAAACATAGACGTTAGAGAATATGTTTATTTTCATAAAAAAGAACTACTAGTGCAGTGATAACACTACTGAAATACAGGATTGGGTAATGGCTAGTTAAAAAGATAAAAGTTAAGTTAAAAAGTTAAATAATTTTAACTTAACTTAGTTAGATTTTAGGCTCTTAAGTTTTAACTTAATTTAGTTATATTTTATTGGTAACTATTAACTTTTGATCTAACTTTCTTGAAGTTACATCCCACTAAACACACTTTGTAACAGTTACCTGGAAGTAACAAGTAATGTAACAATTGTTATGTTAATATTACATCTGAAAGATCATCTGTAACTTGTTACTTTCATGTTACTATTTCAAGGTTACATGTAAAAGTATGTTACTGTAACATAACTTTTTAACGTTAGAGTAACATTATGTGAATATATCTTTGATATAAATGTAACATTGAATATTACCTATATGTGACATATTTTACATATTTTATTTTTTGAATTAGAATAAAGATTTATAAACATTTATTTATTACAATATTAATTGCTGCGTCAATCTACTGTGAATCAATTTTATAATTGCAGGTTTATTATAATAAATAAATATCTTTGTATTTATAAATAACATTTTTATAAAAATATCTTTTTAAATTAAAAAAAAAAATAGATTTCAAAATAAGTAAATCAAATTATTTCCACTTAAAATGGATTACTTTTATTAAAATATTTCTATATTTAACGCTGCTTTACATAATTACATCTTGAAATGACAAAAAATAATAAATTTTAAAATAATAAATTGTAATTATTTTAATTTTTTTAATTTGAAGACATCTTTCCTACAATTTTTTTAATGTTCAAAGAATGTTGAAATTTTTAATGGCAATATATTGAAATAAATAATAGTATATATATAAAAAACACGCATGCGTAAATATATCTATACATACTTTTTTCAATATTTAAACACCCTGTATTTTTAGAAAATGCGGATTATTTATTGTTTATATACATTATTATTTCAATCAGTTTTTACAGTATTTATTTAAACATGAAAGATATAAAATATATAATAGAAAGAATAAGTTCTTTCCACAATGTATCATTAGCTCAGTGTTAGCGTACAAGTATACTGTTCAAGGGATCTCAGGTTCGAATCTCGATGTTTTCAAAAATTATGAACCTGCGTATAAATTGTAATTAATAATTAAATAGAAAATACACGGAGTAGTAAATATAGATTAAACTCTAAAAATAATAATATGTAATAAAATAAAAAAAATAATATGGTATGTGAAAATCACCTAAGTCCCGATATGGATTTAATGTCACACAAGAACTTCCGTTGACACCTGGATCAGGTATACGGGGAAGGTCACTCCACGTATTAGTTTTCAAAAATGTTTATTCTCGACGTGACTTGTATAATACACGAGAAATAATTATACGAACTCGGTCGCGTGAATGATTGTCGATATATGAGAAGACTCGGCTTCTCATCGTCTCGCGGAGGACTCGGCCTCACGATTCTATGAGAAGACTCGGCTTCTCATCGTCTCGCGGAGGACTCGGCCTCACGATTCTATGAGAGGACTCGGCCTCGTGTCGTCTCGCGGAGGACTCGGCCTCACGCTTCTATAAGAGGACTCGGTCTCGTGTCGTCTCGCGGAGGACTCGGCCTCACGGTAACTTTCGAGAACTCGGTTAACGTTTTCTTATGCGTACGCTTCGCTACGAAAATCGTATCTGTTTAGGCCCAT